ACGAGTTTATTTAACTGACAGGCATATGGCATATAGATATCATTATCATTGCGAACCCTTCTTCCTTTCTTCCCTTCTTTGCACCTTCATATCGTTACATCTTCGAATAGGGAGTTGCTAATTGCAGGTCCTGTGGCAAAACTCTGTTCTTTAACAGCAACCCCAGCGCATGCGCCGCTCATTCGAGCTGCTTAAAGCCGCTGAAGAGGCAACTTAGGAATGTTAATGAAAATAAAGCGTTAAGCACTCTGCTGCATCTGCACCCTGCCGCCCATTAAAACACCCGCTCGTCGCTCGCTGCACAAAAGCCCAGCAAACACAAAGGCGGCAGCAGCGAATATGCAACCCCTTTAGGCCAGTTGCAAGACAACAACACAATCACAGTGGCGGCGAGGGGGTGGGTAAAAGGGAGGGACAGTCGTAAAGGGGAAACAGCATTTGGAGCCATAAAGTGGGCAAAATGGGAAAGTCTGGTAGCAACATAACAAAAAACCATTGCATATTTCACGGAGTCACGTCACCCAAGTGGGCAGCTGCGTGTTGGAGACGCCTCCAACGCCACCCCACGTAAATTTGTGCACATGTCTGGGAGAAGAAGGGTTTTGAAAGCACCAACAGCACTCGGATATACCTATAGATACCCTGTGATTTTTGTAATTTGCCCACAATTTCTGTCAAACAAGAAAGCCAAATAAAACATAATTTTATTTCGATTTTCAAATTAGTTTATACTATTAATTGTTAAGTACACACTGCACCTAAATAAACTCTGGTTGATGCGTTATTTTATTTTAAGAAAAATATTTTTGAGTTATAAGCCGTTTTTTCGGTCTCTGATATGTCAAAATAAGGTTTAAGCTGCAAATTTTCATATATTTTCTCAGTTTTACACCCACTTTTGGGCTTTTAAAAACAAATCAATGATAAATATAGAAAGTATAAACAAATAAAATATTTTTTATATAATACACAGAAAAATAACTAAAAAACAAATAACAAATAATTTCAATGAAATTATATACTGAACCAGAAGCACTTATAAGTTTTCTATAAAATATTAAAGACTTTCATACTTTTTCTCAGTGAGGATTGGCAAACTGTTCTTTAAACTGTCACTACTTAAAAGTTAAATAACAACCTCAAGACCTAACTACACTTTAGAGTGGCGAAACTAAGAGGGCATTGCAGCCGCGTCGCTTAAATTGCATCTTCAGTGCAGATTCTGCTGTGTTGCCAGTGGCAACGTTAATGCTTTTAATGCAGGACAAAAAGGACTGGAAAGGGCGCTGAGCGGAGGGCGTGGCAAGTTAGGGGGTGTTTGGATGGGTGTTTGCTTGGTGATTACATCCAACTAAAAAGTGATTTGCATTTATTTTCATCACCGAGCTGAAATTGCTTGGGGGGTTTCCCTTTAATTGCACCAGAGAGTAAGATATATAGAGTTTTTTCAAGCAACTATCGACGCACCTTTACGTTTTGAAGCCAAAGTTTTTGCCTGCCACAAATTATTTGCAGAATGTCGTCCTTTATGCTGGCTTCGACAAATTTCCAAGAAAATTGCATGAGCTTGCATGACTTGTGGGAGTTTGTGCTTTTCCCTTAATAAGGGTTATTGACACAAGTGCACAATGCCCCAGTCGTATTGTGTGTACATATATCCTTGCATTTGTGTATTTATTTTTAGCAGTTCTTCTGGCCAAAGTCTGGGCTGCTTAAAATTTATTTGCCTTATCCGTAGAACTTATTCGCTCGTGTCACAGACGTCGAGACGCCAAAGTTCAATAGCATTGAAGTCGGGGACCGAAAGAAAAATTTAGAAAATCCCCAATGAGGCAGCGCCACCCCCTAGAATCTAGAATCCTCCGCCCTCCAGCGGCAAATGACTGCAAGGACTCGTAAAGCATTTCGGACAGAAGGACATGTGCACGTGCAGCCAGAAAGCTCGTAAATTCTTCACATTTAACGAAATGGAAATTTCGCCAGACAAACCACAAAAGGGAAGGGAGTTTGGTGGTAGGCGGGAATCTGGAATGGAATGACTGACAAGACGTGCCGGGATCGGGGTCTTCATCAGTCGCCAGGTGGGCTAAAGGTGTACCTGGTGGGACTCGAGGTTCGTCGGCTGTATCTGCTTTGTATTGTGTGGCCTTGCCGCTGAAAAACGTGTTTGGGTTTTTCGTCAGAAAGTTGTTACTTCTTTCCCCATTTAATTCTCGCATTTAGACACAAAAGCCAAACAACCAACACTCCGAATGAATGAATCTGCTGGCTTTTTCCAACCAAAGCAGAAGAGCAAACATACCGACAAGATATATGAGTAGTGGTTTAGTCAGGGGCTGTATCAAAAGGGGTATCTAAGTCTGAAGTTCCCAATTTGCAGTGGTAACTAAGCCCCTGGCGAATTTAAACAGCTTCTGGAGCTCAGCATAAATTCTGCTTAGGCCATAGTAACTTTAATTTAAATAGTCATAGATAATTTTATCCAGCTTGTGACAGTAAACGAGCAAATAAAGTAGAAATGCTCAGCTCGTTTACATAATAAAAGCTTTAAAAAGACCTTGGAATAACCGTTCCACATAACAGCGAAATGTGTGAAAGAAATACGAGAATCAAAAGTGCCAAAAAACTTCTTAAGAAAAACCTAAGTAATGAAATCATTTCTATTAATACCTGCCAAACAAGTTTATTTGTAATCAAAAGTCTGTGAGTAAAAATAGGGAAATGCGGAGCTGATGAAAAGTAAAAATGTATTCAATCTTAGTAAAAACTATTTAGACATTAATCATTCTGACCGGGTTTAGTCACACTTCGCACACACTTTTTGCCAAGAAGAAGGGAAGCGGTATTACTACTCCCAAAAACATAAAAAGGTAATGAAAGCCAAATAATGATGCGTAAAGCCAAGCCCCTAAAAAAAACCCAACTAATCATTAATTATATGCAAAAGAAAAATAAAGAAAAAACTTTCAAATGGCCAGACTTCGTCGCGACTATTAAACCAATTTTAGCTTTTGTTATTTTTGTTATTTAGGAGCGGTGGACTGTAAGACAGACAGACAGACAGGGTGGCCAAATGGAATTAATGGGGAGCATAAAAGCGTATTTCTCATACAAAAAGGCAAAGGCGTCAAGGAACCCTCTAGTGCCGATTTTCAGTATTTTTTTGTGGGGTGGCAAAGACTGGCTTAACCGCGCAATAAATGCGCAACAAGGGGCCATAAACATGGCTAAGAGCAGATGAAATTCCAGGGGCAGATGCTCTGCCAAGATGAACTCTTGAACTTGGGTTCAACGGCTTGGCCAAAAAACAAAGACAGGATCAAAGGAGCGCCAGCCAATTGAATATTTAAGGGCTCCCAAATTAAGCATACGCAGAGTTGGCCACCAGCCATCTCAAGTGTGTATCTTATGCAACACAAAAGGCCGTAACAGCTTAAACATTTAAAGTGTATTAGAAAGGAGGAGGCCAGGCCACATAAATATCTTATTACTTTCGCGACCAAGAAGTTGTGTGTTGTCAAAAAGGCAAAGAAAGGTAATTAAGGCTTGAGACAACGGAGCTTAACGTCCACATCCGCTCGCCTCTTCAAATATTTATTTATTGATTTTCTTAAACGCTTTCTGCTCACTTTTTCGCTCGCTTCTTGGCCATTTGAGTGACGTCTGTCACATTGTGTTAAGTCCCATTCTCCAAGCGAATTCGTCGAGCATAATTGGCAGCCGAATATGGCCAGCATTCTGCTTGCTCTCGGCCACTGTTAACCGGCTGCTAGCCGGATGTTAACCGACTGTTAGCCTCCGCCGTTTTTGTTCTGTTTTCAAGTTTATGGTCAATGGCTGTGCATCCGCTCTCGTGCCGCTTCTGCTTGTGCATTTGCCGCTCCAACTGTAAATTTTGACCATTTTCGCCCGCTTCTATTGCATTCTTTTCTCTCTCTCTCTTTCCCACTCTCTCCGTCTCTCTTTTCCTCCCCCACAAAGTTGCAGTTGGCTGCAGTCGGCGGCGCCTTTGTTGCGGCCATTCTAAGCTAAAACCGCTGTCGGTGCATAGCAGCATGACATTTGTCGCCGTGGAAATATAAAAATTAATTTCTTTTGTTTTTATATTTGTAATTATTTGTGACCCGTTTATTTTTATAGCTATGGGTTTTGCCTGGCTCAAAATCGTTGTCTCCATAGTTTTTTTGTTTTAAATTTAAGACACTTTGCTATTAAATCCGCATATCAAATTTATATGATTTTCAGGCAATTTCTATATCTTCTTTGTATAATTAACTTTTCTTTTTTAATTTGGTAGAAAAAAAGTTATGCAACTGTGAAATTATAAAAATAAAGGTCCAATATCAGCATATTAACATATTCTTTTTTATTATATAAAATATCATAGAAATTATAAAAGTACAATTATTTATTTAGTACTTAAACATTTCTTAGAAAATTTTTTTGTAGTAGTGTATTAATAGGTTTTTCTGTTTTTAATTTTTCAGTTTAGTCAAACTCTTGCTTCAGTTATTTTCCACCAATGTTGTTTTTGAATCCCTTTAAAAAGGTATACAAAGCGTATTTTTCATTTGCACGCTAATTTTCACCGAAGTAGAAAATACAATTTAGGAATACATTAAAACTATTTTTATGGAGGTGTGATTTCGCGAGTTCTGGTAAGAATAATACGAATCTAATAGATAGACGGGGCCTATAAATACAACATGTGTAAATAGCTTGGCATGTGAGCCAGAGTCGATTGGCATGACAGTAAATTTACAGATCGCGGCTTTGGTTTATCTCGCGATGAAGAGTGGCTACAGCTACCTGGAATCATTGGAGCTCGAAATGCTGGGTGCTGAGCCGCTGGTCATTAATCGCACCATAGTTCCACATAGTTGGTAGTCACATCTGCCCAGAGACTCGAGAGCTAACAGCGAAAGAGAGGGCTCTGTTAGGCGTAACATTGGTGTGTATCCGCCAGATACTTTTCCGATTCGATTCAGTCTGCCGATTCAGTCTTTCATTGGTGCTCACCGGCTGCGCGTGCTAAGCTCTGGCCCACAGCTACTCAGCCTTTGCATACTATTCAAACTCCGGGCAATCCGCTGCCGCTTAATAAACAAACAGTTAAACAAACCTCTCGAACTCGAACGTCGCCGTGTGTGTGTGTGTGTGTTTCGCCCTCATTGTGCTCTCGTGCAAATGAAAATTTCATTGAGCAGAAAGTCGCAGCAGCAGCAGAAAAGTGGAAAATCCTAAAGCGGCACCAGCCACAGCAAAAAAGAAAATAAATTAAAATCTCGGCAAGTGAAATTTGAGTCGAGAACTATACGCTGCAATTAAGCTAATCTCAGATAAACGAATCCATCGCTGGAAAATTGCCAAAAGTAAATTTTATTTAAATTATTTTGTTCTTTTTTTAATAAGAAAATGTGGGAGATTTTAAGGTTCTCATTTTGAAAAATATCAATATTGGGTTATAAGTCAAACCATATATTATTTAATTTCTAGTTTTGCTTAAATTATGTTATACCCTTATGTAAAAGGAAATTTGAAAGAAATTTTCTGTATTACATTTTTTTAGAAGTTGGTAAAATTGTTGGTAATTACCATTAATCGGCTATTTATAATTGTATTTATATTAGAGAACAATTTAAAGAAACTCTAAAAACAAATCTTTATTAAAGAAAATATTTTGTATTAATTTCTTCGAATTATTGAAGGGCAAACCACATTAACTAAAAATGTGGTCAAAGCATAATATAAATAGAAACTCCTTTTTACAGATTATAAAAATGCTTATTTTGGTAAAAGTTAGATATATATATTTTACAAAAATTTGTTTATCAATTTGCAGTACCAGCTTTTTAATTCATGTTCCTAATCACCTTATGTTGGTGAACAAAAAACGAAAATGCTGTTCAACACCCAGAACTTTCATCGCAGTCGAGAACCGGAAAATGTTGGTATTTTTTTTGTGTTTTCTGCTCGTAGACCAGTCGATCGGGTCGATTTGTTTCAGCTGTCCAGTGTCCAGAGGAGAAGTGTGCCCGTCACAGCCACCTGTCCAGTCCCAGGCCGAGTCCCACTCCCAGCCAGTCCCGGCTCCCATTCCCATTCCCAACCCCATTTCCATTTCCACGTCCAGTGGCATCAAAACCCGCAGACATTGCGGCACAGAAGCAGAAAGTTGCAGCAACAGCAGCCAGTGCGTGTTGAGCTGCGGAATTTTATGCAGTTGCTGCCGCCTCGTTTACGTTTTTATATTTATCTGCGCGAGTAATTCTCCCATTTTACAACTTCATATGTGAAACTTTTATTGGCAACGAAGGGTGGTCGGTCGACGGCTCGCTGTTGTTGGACTGGACGGTCGGCGCTTCTGGCCACGCACCCAGCGGAACGTAACGAAAACGCAACTGCGCTTCACGCTTCCAATCCCCAAGTGGCAGTGGGTTTCGGTGGGGGATTTGGCCGGGGAATTATCAGGGGTTTTGGGAGGTACAAACAGCCAGTGAGACGCGCTTGAATTCCGACTAGAATTCGTCCAGATCGGAGATCTCGTGCTGTCCCGCAAATCAAACACATAAATTGCCAGTCTGAGCGGCCAAATTAGCTGGCAAATATAAGCATTAACAACAGCTGCTTTCACAGAAAAATGCTAACGAATATAAGTCAATCTGGCTTTTATTTATTTTATTTGACGAAATTTCTTAGAATATAGCCAAAAGTCTTTTTTTTGTCTCAAATCTTGACAGAATTATTGCACAATAATATAAATTCTAACTTTACAAATTTGCTTTACAACTTCAATGAATTTAAGTATTTATTGTTTTTTTAAATTATGTATACTTTGATTATACACTCTTCTTGACAATTCTATGCTTATAATCAAGTTCAAAATTATATTTTATTTTTACCTAACTTAAGGTAATGCGTAAACTTTTTTAAGTTACTCAAAATGTTCTAGTAAAACATATATTTTATGGAATCTTACACAAATACAGTATTTTCTTTTTAAAAGGTACAACAAATTGTACAGAAAAAAACTCTTTATAATAAAAATTGTTCTTTTATATATAATGTTTCTTGTTATTAATTAAAAATAAAAAACAAATTAAGATTTCAGCAGAACTATTTCTTATGTATATAAACAGATACATGCTGTTTCTTGCAATCGATCAGTTTCTAGTCCAAAAATACTACTTTTCTTATTCGACACTATTTTTTTTCTGTGCATTTTGCAACTTTTCGCTGAATGAGAATCCTTTGTTCGACGGAGGAGAAAACTTTCTTGGCCAGACAAGCCGCACTCCAATGTGCAAGAATGCAATTCAGTTTAATTGAGTTTTTTATCAATCGCAGACTGGCTATTCTATAGCCTCAGCCCACAAAAGTTGTGTTATTGGATGCTGGCGCTGGCAAATCGCGGCAAAATGTGTGTCGACAGGCGTAATTTCTTTTATGTTGTGTCTGCTGCGTTTTGTAACCTGGTTTTATTTGCAGTCATAACATTTCGCGGCCGCCTGTGTCTAATCACTGTGCAGAGCCAGTAAAAACAAACACGCCACCAGATACATTTACAGATACAAGATACATTGAGTATTGGACACACGACGCTTAATTCTGACATGCTTACATATTTTGCTTTTTTTCGCCTTTTCCTTCTCGATCGATACGTTTACAGGGTGCTCGCAAGCGTGTCAAAGCTGCAGTTACAGATACAGATAAAGATACAGAAAGAGATACAGATACAGAAAGTGATACAGATAAAGAATGAGATACAGTTAACTAGACTAGATAGACAAATGTATCTTTAACTCATTACGCACGTTTCCGCGGGTAAATCTAGTGGGTCTTTGGTTCCATTGTCTGGCATGACTTGAGACACACTCTCTGCAGAGGGCACAAAATCAATGTTGAGATACAAACCCAGGCTGCTTGTTCAACTGGCAGATTGCAGATTGCAGATTAGCGCTTTGTCTTGCACTGAAGGTCGCTTTAAGAAGTTGCCCCATCGCGGGGATAGATCACCAGATGAACTTGAACCCAGCAACTAGCAAATGCTGTGCTTAATGCCAAACGACCATAAATTATAGACGAAACTAAACATTAAACCACTGAACATTTGCAAACATCCTGGGCCGTCTAAGAATAGCCCGCAGAAACAAACAAACAACGTTTCTATGTGGCAAAGTCAAATTCAACGGAAAAAATATATCTCAAAGAGCAAACGTAACTTTTCAAATGGTTTTTTTTTTTTTTTTTTTTGGAGATTTCATCAAAAAGATTAATAAGCAATTTTACGTTGTGTTCCTCTTGGTTTTGTCTTTCTATTCGGAGGCAGACATCTACGTGTTTGGCATAATGTTATCTGCAGATACACCGAACAGTATCTCGCAACGGAAATGTATTAAAAGCTCGTTCAAAAATTAAAAGTAACGGAAGGCCCGTATGTGTAGCAGGCGAAAAAACATTGATACCTATATATATCGACGATAGATCAAGTTTGGCAAAGTCTTTTGAATGCCAATCATATACAGGGAGTGCTCAATTGAATGAACTGCATTTCAAACAATTTAAATGATTTATGACTGGAGCAGGAATTATGATAAATGATTATGTGCATTTGAGTAACTGTTTAAATCGTAACTAAAAGCGGAAATAAATATAAATATTTATAATTGTTAATTTCGTTTTACATTAATAAATAATTCGCTAAATTAGAAATTATTGTTCTAAGGAAAATTAAATGAATTAATTTGAATTCATAAATAACTAATAGAATTATTTCCAATTAAGCAAGTTCTGGTTAAACTCCAGACACTTTCAATATACAGAAAATAAATCAGACTGACAGACAGTCGAGATATACATGGAAAAATAGTGGAATCATTGAACTCTAACCCACTGCGGACAGCTGGCAATCGACAGGGCTGACATGGCGTATGTGTAATGTGATTGCAGCTATAAAACTACACTTATAAACACAACTATATGGCCCCATATACGTATATATGTGCATGGTGTATTGATAGAGGGAGTTCATTGTGACAATGTTCGCAGCTCGTTGCATCTTTTATGATGTAAATTGTACACTGAGTGCACTGCCTCGGAAAACAACAACTTGTGTTGTGTTTCTTTGCATAAATAGAAACTAGAAAAAATTAGGATAATATTTTAACAATTGCCAATTGAATTCTTAAATAACTTTTTAAATATTTTGTAAGGAATAAGTCTAAAAGTGGGAATATAAAATATAATTTGTATAAAAAAAATGATAAAATTTGCGATAATCATGAAACTTCGTTAAAGGCAAATATTTAATTTGATACATATTTATTTAATTGCAATTTGTACACGATTGAATTGTAATTCACACAACAAAACTAATTTTTTTTAAAGCTAAATTTTGATTTGTATAAAATATGTCTGGTGCGTTGAATTTTACGACATAAAAACTTTTTATACTGTACGTTTTAAGAGGTATTCCTTATTTTTTGTTGAAAAAATTGTCTTCTATTGACCAAGCTAAACACCTTTTCCCACAGTGCAGCTGACTAATGCTATGCGGACTCATTCGCTTGACGATTTTATGACTTTGGCAGTGCCCGAGAACTTTACCAGCTATACCACCGGGCATGGCATCTATTACCACCATTACATGTACTATATAACGCAAAGGCAATCATAAATAAGTGTACAACCAACTTGACTCTTCGGTGGGTGCGTGTACTGTGCGTGTGATTTCCGTGATTTTAGCCCCAAACTCCCACCTCCAAATCGCTTTCTATTGCTCGATTTATCATTTATTTGCCTTTGTTATTTATAGACATTCCAGACATGTCAGACGTAAATATGCAAGTACACATATTTGTTGATTGCTCTTTCGGTTCCGCTTTCAGTGCACCTCCCCAGCCCTGTATGAACCCACCTATCCACCTATCCATATGCCCACATAGCCACCCACCCCATTATACCTTTTCTGACTTTGAAATGCGTGCGGTGTTCGTTCATTATTGATTTCTGGCGGGGCTGCGAGTTCAGGAGCATTTGATAACCGAGCCGGTGTTCGACTTCGTCCAAAAGGTGGTTTCTGCTATTAAAATCATCCCTTTGAAACCCCAACTGTTAAACAAACATTCGCGTGATTACCCAACAAACATCAACAGGAAATAGAAAGATAACAATTGGCGTTTCTCAGAAATTATCTTAGTTTTTTCCTGGATAACGGATGCATTTTTGTGGATTCTTGGTTCTAAGAAATAATTTATAAATGGTGTTTTTTTCTATTTTGCTTATGCCTTTTACTATTTAGTATTTTCAATAAATAAAGCCTTAGTCACTTTTTAAATGTGGAATTTCCCGTAAATATACTGGTAAATAAAAG